GATACAGGGTGCTGAGAGAGAAAGAATAAGAAAGTAAGGATTTCACCTAAATTGGGAACCTGGATGACTGGAGGATGGAAGTACCCTTGCCAGTGATAGGGAAGTTTATAAGGGGTGTGGTTGGGTTGATTGGTTGAGTTCAGTTTGGGAGATGTGGAGTTTAAGATGTGTGTAGGACATTTAGTTTGAAATTGGACAATATTGGATGACAGACAGTTAGATACATGAGACTAGAGATCCTATATAAACAGAATTGAGAATCATCTGCATAGAGTTGATAATTGAATCCACGGGAGGTGATGAGATTGCCAAGTGATATAGAATGGAGGGAGAAGAGAAGGTTCAGGACAGAGTCCTGTGAGTCATCCACAATTAGCATCACCAGGGCATTTTTGCTATGAAGGAAAGATGCATTGACCATGTGACAAGAACCAAAGATGACAGTTGGATTCCCAGATTGTGGTACAAGTACTTGTGCAAGGTCAGGAGAAAGTGCAGAAGACCTCCAGTATCAGTATACCCTCAGAAATGGGAAGACCTGGACAAATCCATGGATAAGTAGGCACAGACAGTTCGATGAAGTCATAGATCCACTTCAGTATTGTGTATTTTGAATCGTCAGCTCCCAGAGAATAATAATTTTATCTCTTCAACAGATTTCATAAAGTACTTGGAGCAGCTCCAAGTACATTGAGTGCCTAACTTTTGTCGTTCAGTTGTTTCACTCATGTACGACTGTTCTGACCCCATTTGGGGTTTTCTTGGCAAAGGTGCTGAAGCACCAGCTCATTTTATAGGTGAGGAACTGAGGCAAACAGGGTTAAGTGACTTGGGCTATTAAGTGTCTGAGACTGGATTTGAATTTAGGAAGATGAGTCTTCCTGACTCCAGGCTACTTTTGATATTGATAACAAACAAAATGGATAATATTTATTATTTAGTATAATGACTACGGGATGATAATGACTATGTTCAAGAGAAGCAGGAACCTGCTTTTTCTTTTCTTTTTTAATTTTTTTTTCCTGTTCTAAGTTAAATTTAATTTTATTTTCAGTTTCAAATTCTCTCCCTCCCCTCCCCTTCCTCATCCATTGAGAAGGGAAGATAAACAAAACCTATTATGCATATGCATGGTCATGCAAAACAAATTCAATCTCCTTCACTTTCACTTTCGACACCTTTGACCATCTCTTCTTTCTATGTAAAGAAACAGAAACAGAAAGTTCAGTCCCGTCCTAAATCCAATGATATATCCCCATATGACATGAAGGAAGATACATTACCAACTGCTGTACTGAGCCACCCTAAATACCATGGAACCTTTCCATCTGGCTTATAGCTGAAACTGTTTGAATGTATTGCCCTTAAGAATGTGAGTTCTTTGTGGTCAAAGGCTATCTCCAGTTTTCTATTTGTGTACCCACTCGGCTGTCAATTTTTCCAAAGCACACATTTGACCATGTTATTTCCCTCCTCAATAGGCTTTCTCATTGCCTTTAGAATTAAACATAGACTCTCCTACTTGTCATTTAAAGTCTTTCACAGTCTGGCTTTAGTTTCTCTTTCCCTTTTAATTTTTTTCCTTTATAAAATTATTAATTACATTCATCAACACAAACATTACAGTAAAAATCAATCTGCTAACATTTATTAACTGCTTACCATGTGCCAGGCATTGTGCTAAGTACGGGTGTTTTATAAGCACCATCTACCCCATGCAGGTAAAGCCACCAAAGGTTCAAACCACTAATGTAGTTTCCTGGTGCCTCAAGTACTAAAGCCAGGGCGTGAGGAGGCAGCTGGGCTCTTCAGGTTCCATGTCTTACCAGTAAGTCAGCATGACAAATCCGGAGTCAGAAAAGCTGTGCCCACCTGAAGCAATTCTGTATTCTTGTTGAATATCCTTTCCATGCTGTGATTAATAACCCTCCTTTTGTTAACTGCTAAATGCTTTGGATGGGCCTATTTTACTTCCGTTCTAAACCTAAATTACTAATGTGATTTGAGTCAGAACAGGTATTAGTCACCAAGATTAGATCAGAATGATTAAAGGGGGAAGGGCCACGCAGAAGAAGAATAGCCCCAAATGATCAGATGCCATGATATAGGAGCCTCAAATCCTTTGACCACCATGCTTCTGGTGGTGTTTCTGCCTTTGACTGCATACTACAAGGCAGTCTCCACTGACCTGGGGAGATTAAAAAGTAGAATGTGGACACAACAGCTAGAGATAGATGTGGATATTTTCTGTTCATTTAAAACTCTTGCCTAAAAATGATACATGTAAACTTTTGTTGGTTGAATTTGCAAAATTACTGTATTTCATGTGGGATAGTGACCTCCAGGCCCACCAGTTATGGAAGGCCTGGCCCTCCCTAATGATTTTTAATATGAGGATTATCTAAATGAATTGCTGGGGATGTTATATTCAGTATTTAGAAGGCCATTAAGGCTCTTTGGTTCCAGGCACTAGGCAAACTCTTAAAAGGACCATGCTTGGGTCTTCCCAGAACCCTAAAGACCTTTCAAAAATTGAAGACATGGATAAATGTGCTAAATGCATTTCCAAGTTGATCTGTTGAGGACGTTTTGAAAGGAGAGACAGCTACAGTTTTCACCTTTTCTCCAGAACGGTGAACTATAATAATTCTCTAGAAAGAACACTGGGTCCTTAAGTAAGAACTGGGTGAGGCACCCCTGTGGGACGGGTCTTGACGAGGGCCCCAGCTACCCTGTTCCACCCTAGCGAAAACAGTGCCTATTTACACATGGCAGCTAGAGCAGCTGAATGAGTCTGCTTTGTGTATCTATCCAAGTGAGTAAAGAGCAGTCCTGAGATGGACATTCCTGTGAGCTTGAGTGTTTGGCCTCAGCATCCCAGGAAAGCTTGGTGGCTTTCAGGCCCCAGCACAGGGGGTGAGAGCTCAAGCATCAGCTGGGGAAGGGTCATGGCCAGACCCCGGAAGAATGGGACAGCATTCAACCCTAGTGTAAAGGAGCAGAGGAAGTACCTGTGGTCCCTGACAAAGGGAACAGAAGCATAAGCTTCAGTAGCATGCAGGCAGCAACACGGAGGACACTGGCATGGGAACATTCACAGGCAGGTCCAGCATAGACTTTTGTTCACCATAATCTGGAATTGATAAGGCCTTTCCACACTACTGCTACTAGAGAAATTAGTTGCCAATGAATAATTCCTTCCCAGGAAGGGCTTAAAAGACTAAAAGGTAGAACTAAAGTGCTTTGTTTTCTAATAACAAGGAGCAAGGGAAGCTCTCTAGTCAGCCTCCTCAGAAAAGGGGAATAGCCCCTCTGCAGAGGTTTCTAAGGCGGCAAGGATTTGATATCTGGCCTGATGCGCGGCTCATGGGAAGGGAAGGTGTTGGCTCCCGGCCTTGGGAACACTGAGCGAGGTCATGCACGGGAAAGTTTCAGTATTTACTGACCCTGGCTCAAGGACAGAGTCAACGCAAGAAGGTAGTGACCTCTCTGCCACCTTGCTACAGATGCCCCTGATCCACTGTGAGGATCAGTAGCTCTGTCTGAAGTGTCATCATCAGGGCCATTGCACTTCTGTTCCTGGTGCTTCTCCTGCTCAAGTTTACCACTACACATCGTGGGATCCACTGTGAACTGCAAACATTCGGCATGACCTTCCCTACAGAGCAAATTGTTAACATCTGAGCCTTGGTCTTTCCAAAGGGAAAAGGCAAAGCCTGGGATTTCTGGTCTCTATTCACCTCCCATATTTTCTCACTCCTTCAGAGTAGTGTTACGTTGCTTGGTGTATTTTTTTTTTCTATCTGTTTCTGTTTTTCTCATCGTTCTCTAGTTCTGCTTCTTCCAGGATTCTCACATCTCCAGGGACAGAGTTTTTCAGCAATGGCTTAAAGGCCGTTCAAGTGGTAGATGGTCCTTCAGAAGACCTTAAAACAGGGGTGGGGAACCTGCAACCTCAAGGCCACATGTAGCCCTCTGGGTCCTGAAGTCCAGCCCTTCGACTGAGTCCAAACTTGGATTGGACCCAAACACATGGCCTCAAGGCTGCAGGTTCCCCACCCCTGCAAAGATTTTGCCATGAAAGGTGGTGCTTCATAAGAGCAGCATCTATTTATTAAGCTCTTAAAAATCATCAGCAAACAAAAATATTCCATCATACAAAGAAGAACAATAAGGAAGGTTGTATGTGAAACCATGAACTTCTATTACATATAGATTGCTTTGAAAAGGTAGTGTTGTTCAGTCATGTCTGACTCTTCATGACCCAGTTTGGGGCTTTCTTGGCAAAGATACTGGAGTGATTTGCCATTTCCTTTTCCAGCTCATTTTTTACGGATGAGGAACTGGGGCAAACAGGGTTAGGTGACTGGTCCAGGGTCACACAGCTAGTAAGTGTCTGAGGCCAGATTTGAACTCACAAATATGAGTCTTTCTGACTCTAAGCTCAGCACACTCTCCACCTAGCTACAAGCACCACCCCACTCCCCAGCTAGCTATGTATTTTGCATTTACATTTGCATATTTTGAATTTACATAACTTTGTATATTACATATCTATGTATATTAGATTTAACCATTAGTTACAAAATTATCCTATTTCCCTTTCTGTGCTTTTTGTTTTGGTTTTGTCTGTGTATTTTTTTCATTTTGCTGATGTTCTTTTTTGGGCATCTCTGTTAGCTGTCACTGTTTCCTGCCCACACTGATATCCTCCCTTGTAACAAATAAGTCCAATAAAGCAAAATATATCACCACATTGGCCAGTGTGGGGAAATAGGTATCCCGTTCTTCATTTTCAGTCTATCACCTCTTTACCAAGAGACAGACATGTCTCCTCCATCATTAGATTTCTTCTGAAGGTATGCTTGGGCACAACATTGATCAGCATTCTGTTGTCTTTCAAAGCTGTTTTCCTTAGGATGCTTTGTAGGAATCACTTTGTCATCCTCCTAGAGGTGTTCTGAGTCTGGTCGAATGCTTAATCCACAAGACACTAGCAATTCCTGCCCTGATTTATTTACGTATGATGATGATTGAGAAAGTAGTGAGAAACACTCAAGTTTGAAAAAACAAAAGTCAATAGGCCAAGAATAGGGCTTATGTGCAAAACAAGAAAACAAACACAAAAAAATTTGGGTAAGAAGGCTAAAGTTAGGGTGTGTATGGGTACAGGAAGATGATAAGTCAAAAGTGCATGTGTGTGTGTGTGTGTGTGTGTGTGTGTGTGTGTGTGTGTGTGTACCTGTATCTGTGTCTGTGTCTGTGTCTGTGTCTGTGTATGCGTTAAAGCCAAGAGGCATAGTCTTTTCTTTCTTTTGAGGAATTTCTCACTTGCCATCATCAATAAGCTGCTTATCGTTGACGTTTCATTCTTCTCCATTTGTTTTTCCAGTACATTAAATCAGTTCATCTATCCTCACTGTGTTGGTCTTCTGCTCACAAATTAAGTAATGTGTGTCCTCACAGAGTGAAGTATAAATTTTTCCCTTGTGGAAGTAAGCACAATGCTGATCTTCTTCATTTCCTAAAAGCTTAAACCTGTGGAAGGAAAAGGTAGGTAAAAGTTAGTAAAAACTGCAACTTAATTAGAAAGCAAAGAGCAAATATTTATTTGATCATCAATCATATGAATTACCAACTATGGATTAGATTTAAGACACAGATGTTTCCCTCAAAGAGCTTAGTCTCATTGAAGAGACAAGCAAATACAAGCTGATAAGTGAAAATTCAAGGAATAACACAAGGCAATATATCAGGAAATGTCAAATAGGTGTTGTAGGAGTTCAAGGGAGAAAGAGATCACTATGGATTGGACTGGGTAATCAGTAAAGGAGAGAAAGAGTGAGATGGAGAGACAGAGAAAGGAAGAGAGACAGAGAGAGGAAGAGAGAGAGAGAGACAGAGAGAGAGAGAGAGACAGAGAGAGAGAGAGTGTAGGGGATGAAAATGGTCAGATTTATACTTTAGGAAAACTACTTTGGCAGATGGATTGGGTGGGGGCAAGACTATGTCTATATAGGGAGACTCATTAACAGAGTATCATAATAGTCTTTTTGAAAAGTGAAGAGGTCCTGAACTGGGGCATGACCATGTGGGTAGAGACAAGGGAATAGATGTGACAGATATTGTGGAAGTAGAAACCACAAGATCTGACAGGTGATTTACTATACGGGGTAAGTGAGAATGAGAAGTCAAGGATAACAAGAAAGTTGCAAGTCTGAGTGACCAGAAGGATAGTATCCTTGATAGTAATAGTGAAGTTTGGTAAAAGGATGGATTTGGGGGGAAAGATGATGAATTCTCTTTGGAACACATTGAGTTGAGAAGACATCCAATTCAAATGTCCAAAAGGCATTTGGAAACATGGGACTAAAACTCAAGAAAGAGTAGGGAAGATCTAGGAATCATCTGAATAAAGATGATAATTTAACCCATGATAGCTGATGAGATCACTAAGAGGGAAAATGTAGAGAGAAAAAAAGAGGGCTGAGGAGGTATCCTCAGGTATCCTCATCATTAAGGAGTTCTGTCCTAGACCCACTTCTGTTCTCTCTCTACATTGCTTCATTTGGTGATCTCATCAGCTCCCATGGATTTAATGATCATCTCTATGCTGATGATTTTCAAATCTACCTATCTTACCCCAAACTCTCTGTTGACCTCCAGTCTCATAGCTCCAACTGCCTATTAGATATCTCAAACTAGTTGCCTAGTAGACATCCTAAACTCAACATGTCCAAAATGGAACTCATAATATTTCCCCCTAAACTCTCCCTCCCTCCTATTTTCCCTGTCAGTGCAGGGGGCAACACCATCCTTCCATTCCCTAAGGCTCGCAACCCTAGCAATCATCCTGGATCATCTCTTGCTCCTTATATCCAAGCTATTGTCAAGACCTAGCTATTTCACCTTTGAAGCATCTCTTGAAAACACCCTTTTCTCTCCTCTGACACTGCCACCACTCTGGTACGGGTCCATATCACCTCATGTTTGGGTACTATCAAAACAACCTGCTAATAGATCTGTCTGCCTCAAGTTTCTCCTACTCCAATCCATCCTTTATTTAGCCACTAAAATGATTTTCTTAAAGTATATGACCATGGCACCCCTCCTACCCAATAAATTCTAGTGGCTCCAGGATCAAATATAAAACCCTCTGTTTAGCGTTCAGAGTCCTTCATAACAAAGCTTTCTATCTTTCCAGTCTTCTTACACCTTACTCCCCTACAAATAAGACATTCCTTCTCTCATTTCTAGGCATTTTCTCTGGCTGTCCCCCAAGCTTGGAATGCTCTCTCTCCTCAACTCCACATATTGCCTTCTTTGACTTTCTTTTTTTTAATCTTCTAGTATAATTTATTTATTTTTAGTTTTCAATATTCACTTCCACAAGATTTTGAGTTCCAAATTTTCTCCCCATCTTGTCCCTCCCCCTGCCCCAAGATGGTGTGCATTCTGAATACCCCTTCCACTAATCTGCCCTCCTTTCTATCTCCCCCCCCACTTCTCTTATCCCCTTCCCCTTTTATTTTCCTGTAGGGCAGGAAAGATTTCTATACCCTGTCACCTGTAAATCTTATTTCCCAGTTGCATATAAAAACAATTTTTAACATTTGTTTTTAAAATTTTGGGTTCCAAATTCTCTTCCTTCCTCCCTCCCCAATCCAAACTTCACAGAACAAATCCCTGTAAAAAAAAGATTTGTTCTGTAAAACTTGGACTCAGTCAAAAGGCTGCACCCGAGGACCTAGAAGGCCACATGTAGCCTCGAGGCCACAGGTTCCCTACCCCTAGCTAAAGCAAGATGTTTATGTTATGGAGCTAGGGGACGTAATATAGGTTGGGTCCCCCTTGCTGAGAATCTTGAATAATAAGCAATCTTTTAGACCCCAAGATCTAATCATGAGATATTTCTGCTAGAAATAGCTTTTTAGGGCCAGTTTTGTCTACCTCAGAGATAAAGTAACAGGCAGTGGAGGGAAAAAGTAAGAGAATAGTTAGGAGGAGCGTAATTGTTGAAGCATACCAAAGGAACAAAATTAGAGATGTCTAGTGACTTACACATTCTCAGAGAGGCGTGAACCATCTTCCCAAATCCAGATCCCATCAGAGTTTCTACGGGACAGTCCAATCCATCGAATAAAAGAAGTTCTTCCTTTGATGAAATCCTGAAAAGTGCATATGAAGCCCTCCTAGTCAGAGTAACTCATGGTGGTGATAGTTATACAAGATTCCACTATAGGAAAGATAGGAAAATGAGCTGGTGGACTGAATGAAGTAGACTATAGAAGGTTATTAGGATTCCAAGGTTTGTGGTTTTAGAATGAGAAAGACCTCATGATCTGAGAACTCTAGACAACCAATCTATTATTATAACTCTATCAGAGTCTGTTGGTAAGAAGATCTCTCACAGTTTATGCACCAAAGGAAGAGTACAAGAACAGAATGGAATTAAGTTAGCAAGATAGATGCTAGATAGGATGAAAGTAAAGGCATGTTTTGTGGTTGAGGCTTGAACACTTTTTGAATTAGGTGGTAGGATAGAATGGTTTTAGAAAAATCACTTTGGCAGCTGAGTACAGAATGGATTGGAATGGAGAGCTACTTGAATTAGGGAGATTATTGTAATAATTCAGTAAAGACGGGATGGGGACCTGAACTAGGGGGGTGACTATGTTGCTGTCGCCATCATTTGTCCTTTGTTCTCAAAGAAGACCATGACATCAGGGAGATGATGCCATGACATGCAAGTGAATTGGATTTAAGTAAGGGAGGTTCTATGGAAAGTTACCAGCCTCACTTTGTCCTCTAGAGCCATCTGGGTCCAACGGCAAGATTAAGATATAGATGAGGATGCCTGAAGATGGCCCTGGAGGCAGTGGGAGACCTTGGCCTTTTCAAGCTAAGGTTTTTTAACAGGTCTCAGTTTGGCTGAAGTAAAGCCCATTCAGTGATTAAGGCTTGATAAAAAATGAGGCAAAGAATGGCCTCTTTAAAAAAAGTAGATCTGGAAGGGGAAGATCCTCAGGGTTTTTCACCAAAACAGAAAGAATTGTAATTTACATTCATTCTGAGCCAAACGGGGCCCAAACAGTGACTGAGTAGGGCTTGAGTGATTTGGGGTTAAGGCTAGTCTTTAAGAGAAAACAAAACAAAACAAAAAAAGTTTCAGAGATTAAAATTTACATTCTTTGGGCAGAGCACAGGGAGGTAAGGGTGTGATATCCTGTGTGGTGAGAGAGGAAAGAAAGGAAAGAAAAGAAGAAAGGAAAGAAGGAAGGAAGGAAGGAAGGAAGGAAGGAAGGAAGGAAGGAAGGAAGGAAGGAAGGAAGGAAGGAAAGAAGGAAAGAAGAAAAAGAAAAAAGAAAGAAAGAAAGAAAGAAAGAAAAAGAAAAGAAAGAAAGAAAGAAAGAAAGAAAGAAAGAAAGAAAGAAAGAAAGAAAGAAAGAAAGAAAGAAAGAAAGAAAGAAAAAGAAAGAAAGAAAAAGTGTTGCCTACCTGGAAGTTCGATCCCTAGTGGGCAACTCCTTCTCTACCCATAGAGGTTGCTGTTTGTCCTTTATTCTCGTAGAGAGAAAGGGACAGAAGGGCAAAGGAAAATATCGTAATAATGAAATATGTCACAGGTTATTTGGCAGGTATCTGATATCTGAGATTACTGTCCTACCATCCACAGTCACTTACAAGAAACAAGATATAAGTGACAATGGGCTGCCCTTTACAACCTGTTGAGCATCTTTTTTTTTCTGACACAAAAACCTTTTTCTTTCCAAAACAAAACAAAAAAACCCCTCAAAATATGACTTTAGTTCACTATTCATTATAGAGCTACTTAATCTACTTTTTTGTTTGTTTATTTATTTTTTTTGGAGGCAATTACATGACTTGCCCAGGGTCACACAGCTAGTAAGTATCTGAGGCTGGATTTAAACTCAGGTCCTCCCAACTCCAGGGCTGTGCTTTTATCCTCTTTGCTACCTAGCTTTTGCAAATCTTTCTGTGTCCTTACTGTCAGAATCAATCTCAGAGGTGGAAGACACCTCAGAAGTTACTGACTCCAATCCTTAATTGAATTATAAACTGTGTCTAAGTCATCCTTAATAAGTGCTCATTTTTTGCCCTCTCTTTCTATCCCTATTTCTCTACCAAGTTGGCCTTATTTCATTTTCAACCTGCTTTGTCTTAGGATCCTCTCTCCTCATATTTGGTTAAAATTTTCTTCTGTATAACTTTTAGTCACTGGAAATAATTCTTTATTCCTCAGATATGTATGTATATATATATGTATATATGTGTATATATTTTTCAGGTAGGTATCTCTCCCCTAACTTTAGCCTTGAAGATTTTTACAGAAACTCAAAAGAGTTTATAGAAATACAGGTGATAAATGTCCACTCTATTCCCCTGTTAAATGATTTGGGAGTTTCAAAGCGTCTTTTGCATTACCTGACTGGAGAGAAACTGGAAAAGAGAAAGTCTCTAAAAGCCAAGAAAGACTTCCTTGTAGAAGCTTCAGCAGTTCCAGGCAGAGTGAGAGGATATTGTTTACAGTTTCTCAAGAACATGCTATACTTTTTAGGCAGGTCACATTTTGAGGAATCAAGGGAAGTCAACATGGTAATCTAACCATCTGGAATCTTTTCACAGTCTTCCTAGAGTACTCATTATGGGAATCCCTCTGACGAGGGATGAGAGTTCAATCTCCTTACCAAAGTATCCTGGTGGAATATCTTCGGAAGAGTGGCATTCCGTTCAGCACAATATCGTTTACTCTCTGCCCATGTCAGATTGTGTCTGAAGAAACCATAGCACCTATCTCCATGATATCTCCAGTTGGTGTCACAGAGGTTACATTTGTGACCTATAGTAGAAGCCAGAGCAAAGGTACCTCTTCAGTCAGCAATGGTTTCTGACTCTCTCGATATTGGAGTCTCTCCTCTCAGATCTCAAGACTCCAAAGATGCTATCTGGCAGAGAGGGAGGGGATGGACTAAGAAAAGGGTAAGGAGTCCCCAGATAGACTTACCCACAGGCTTTTGAATAAGCTCTTGACAGATGTTTTTTGCTACTTTCTGGAGAATCTCTGAGAGATTTCTATCCTGGGTAGGAAGGTAATCTTGTTGTTTGAAGACTGGGGGGGCTGGGAAGGGGGAGGTGAAAGAAATTTAATAATGTTAGTTTATAATGAATGAAAGGCCTTTCTATGAACCCAACAGTTGTTGATCCCTGGATAATTTATAACACACATATAGTGTAGAGAGTTTTGTAGAGGGATTAAGGGATGAAGAGAATAAGTCTGGAACATACAACTGTTACTCAAGTCATCGGATAATCTAGTTAACAAGAATTAACAAATATCTGATAACTCCGTTGTTCCCTACCCTGATCAGAACACCTCTGGAGTATTTTGTTCAATTTTGGGCACCTTGTTCAAATCTGGACATCTTAAGAAGGACTTTGATAAGTTTTAGGGTGTCCAGATGAGAGGGCCTCGATGATGAAGTTCCTTGAAATCGTGATAGCTACTTTCAAGTGTGTGAAGGAGATTAGCCTGCTTTGCCTACTCCAGCTAAGAGCAATGAGTGGAAATTGCAAGGAGGAAAATTTAGTCATGAAGTAAGGAAAAACTTATTAATTATTGTTGTTCAGTCACCTCAGTCATGTCTGACTCGTCATGACCCCATTTGAGGTTTGTTTTGCCATTTCCTTCTCCAGCTCATTTTACAGGTGAGGAAACTGAGGCAAACAGGGTTGTGACTTGCGAAGGGTTACACAGCTAGTAAGTGTCTGAGGCCAGATTTGAACTCAGGAAGATGAATGTTCCTGACTCCAAGCCTGGTGTTCTATCCACTGCACTATCCAGCTGCTCCTCTTATTAATTAGATTTGCACAAAAATAGAATGGCCTGCCTTGGAAGTTATTAGGTTCCATCTCACTATAAGCTGTCAAGCAAAGGTGGATGGCTTTGTAGAGGGGATTCTCAACCAGGCTAGGGCTAACAATTATGACTTTAGCTAAGTTTGCAAAGTGCTTTACAAATATTATCACATTTGATCCTCACAACAACCCTGGGAGGTGATTGCTATTATTATCCCCATTTTTACCGATGAAGAAACTAAGTCAAACAGTTTCTGAGGTCAAATTTGAACTCGAGTCTTCCCGGCTCTAGGCCCAGTGTCTTATCCACTGCACCCCTAGATGACTTAGATGGCTGCTGGAGTTCCTTCCACTTGTGAGATTCTATGAAAGAGACCCAGAATGAAGAATGAAGAATCAAATGAACTCTACAAAACAGATAAATCAATCAACAAACATTTGTAGGGCACTGAGCCTGTGACAAGCACTGTGCTCAGTGCTGAGGACAAACAAAAGTAAAACTATGTCTGCTACCCCAGAAGAATTTACAGCATATTAAAGGAAATGCTGTGTTTCCATGGTGGCAGGCCATGAACCAGAGTAAGGGAGGTAGATGAATACTGTTGCTCCCCATGACAGATTCAATTCCAGAAAATCAATCTAACTAACTAAACAAATATTTCATGAGAGTTTGCTCAATATACCAGAATTTTGGCAGCATGCCTTCTGGGGGTAAAGTAATGAAACCTCAGAGTTAAAAAGCAACTCAAGGGTTATCTGGTCCAATCCATTCTTCCAGAAATCCCCTACCTAAATCCACTGGTGAATAGTCATCCAGCTTCCCCTTTAAGGGAACTCACTAGCTTTTTAACTAATCCATTCTGACCTAAAAAATCGATGAATGAATAAGAGAAATCTTAAAAAAAAAAAAGGGCAGCTAGATGGTGCAGTAGATACAGCACTGGGCTTGGAATCAGGAAGACTCATCTTCATGAGTTTAAATCTGGCCTCAGACACTTACTTGCTGTGTGACCCTGGGCAAGTCACTTAACCCTGTTTGCCTCATTTGTCCCTCATTTGTAAAATTAGCTGGAGAAGGAAAAGGCAAACCACTCCAACATCTTTGCTGAGAAAACCCTAAAATGGAATTGGACATGACTGAACAACAACAAAAAGTTAAATAGGAACAAGAAGGAGTAACACTTTCCCCACTAGATCTCTGGAATCATACTTTTTCATGTAAATTAGGGCTGAAAAACCCTGTTTTCATTTTCTTGGTGTTTGGGATTTTGCTTCTCCAAAAGAGCTTAAGTGTGGTGAGAAGTTCTTCAGAGGCAAGGTCCCTATGAAGGGGTGTAAATGGGTGAATTGTAAGTTAGGGCTCTTTTTTCCCATCCCAATCTTGGGGGCCAATTGACACTTACACATTATTCCTAGAGTCACCAGACCAGCTGCCATCCCTAGGCACAGGAACAGCAGCGTTAGAGCCATTGGACGCCACAGAGGAGAAACACTGGGTTCAACTATGGGCAACCAGCAGGAGAGGAGAGTCAGAGAATATAGCACGTACCTCTGGGAAACACAGGATAGGGGCTCCTCCTTACCCTCCCAGGAGCCAACCAGAAATAGAGGCAGCTCCAGAGACCAAGCCTGCCTTCTTGCTTATCAGCATTTCCAACCCATCTCCAAGATATGCTGTTCTCCTATGTTCTGCCTATACCTTTCCTCTTAATCTTGCATCTATGACATGGGCTGAAACTGCTGATTATTGGATTAACAGAAGGAAGGCAGAGCTATCCTACATCTTTAGTTACCTAGAGGTTTCTTTTATCTTCTCCTGTCCTGGGTCTCATCAATAGGGATGTCACTAAAGCTAAGCCCAGTGTGAAGGGAATTGCTCCCCAGTATGACTATCTGATCATTCCCACACATTCCTCTTACTGGTAAGTAGGCTTCATTTCCCCTTAATAATAAGATATCATGGGGCAGCTAGGTGGTGCAGTGGATAGAGCTCTGGCCTTGGAGTCAGGAGGACCTGAGTTCAAATCTGGTCTCGGACACTTGACACTTAATAGCTGTGTGACCCTAGGCAAGTCACTTCACCTCGATTGCCTCACCAAAAAGGGGGAAAAAAATAAGATATCTTCAAAGTTGATTTTCGGTTGGGCAGAGTGGAACTTATTAGGCAATCACAAGGGAATCATCGATATCTTCTGGGTGCATAGAGAGAGGACACAGCTACTAATGTTGTGAGGTGGAACACAACATGGGTTCAGATTTTGGCTCTGCAATTTACTACCAATGCAACCTTGGGCAATCCCTTCATCTCCCTGTGTTTCAATTTCATTTGTAAAATGATGAGTTAGAAACAAAATACTCCCTGCTCTCAAGTACTTTGGATTAACTAAATAATAGGCTTCTCAGACAAATAATATACACACAATCATGTGACCTCAAAGACACCTTTCAGCTCTAATTCTTTGATCCTATGATCACCTCTCTCAATGGTCTCACTGTCTTCCCTTATCTTTTCAGCTCTCTTGCAAATAAGTCTGTCCCTGTGCCCCATGTCTGGACACTACATAACCTCTGGGCTGTGGCACATTATTTGACTGGGAAAAAATATCTCACAATTACACAATGCCTTAAATTTTGCAAAGCACTATACATATGTGTATACATATATATGTGTGTGTATGTGTGTATCACTATAGATATACACACATGTGTATGTATGTGCGTATACAGACACACATATACATATATGTGTGTATACACATACACACATGTATGTGTACATGTATATATACATATTATATATAATATATACAAATATATTATATATATATACACATACACACATGTATGTGTACATGTATATATACATATTATATATAATATATACAAATATATTATATATATACATATATATATACTATATATAAATAATATATATAAATCTGATTTGATTCTCACAATACCCTGTAAGGTAGTTGCTATTGTTATTCTCATTTTATAGATGAGGAAATTAATGCTTGGAAAAGTTAAGTGATTTGCACAGCATTACACAACTAGTCTAATGTCTGAGACAGGACCTCAGGTCTTCCTCATTCCAAGTCCAGCCTTTTATCCACTATACCACGCTATTTCTACTAAACATACACACACACACACACACACACACACACACACACACACACACACACACTCACTGCACATATACATCTTGTTATAAATCTAGAGATGGGGTCTGTGATTTCATTGGTATAGGGAACTCCCAGGTGAGAAAACTCCTTCTATCAAAGCAAGTGGGCATTTTTTTTTACAACTTAGGAGAGATGCCTAGAGTATTAAGAGGTTCCCTCATAATTCTCATATAACCTGGACATGTAAGAAGTGAGAATTGGCTCAGTTCTTGGCTTTGAGGCCAGCTCTCTGTATCATGCTGCCTATATAGATGATATAAACATGGAGGCATAATATAGGCATATCCATAAAAGTATATAGATGACAATTTTTTTAAAGGGGAGGAGGGCTTTCCTCAATTACTGCTGGAATTAGAATAATCCCAACCTGCCTGGCTCTTAGTACAACCAAGGATATTTTAATTCCTACCTGGAAGTCCTGAAGTTATAGCTGATGTTCTTGATTTAAAATTTAACGTGATATATCCATCTTCATCCTGCATGTCTTTTCCTTTGCTGGATAATAGTGCTTAGCATAGACTGCCACGCCAGAAAGCACAGATCACCTTCACAGTTCCAAGATCAATGTCTCTCTTTCTCGATTCTTCTTAACTTTTGCTTCTCATAAGTACGGAGGAGTCAACTACAGACTGGATATATTATGCCTCTTTCAGGAAGTGCTCCCATGGATGCTCAGAGATATACTGGCCTTGGGCACAGAGGAAAAGGAACTTTGGGTGCGGAAACAGATGGAATGAATTCTTCCTTTTTTCTTATCTCTAGTGCATGACAGAGGCATTCCATTACATGTATCTTTCCAAAGAACCAATTGTCTCTCTCTCTTTCTTTCTCTCTGTCATCTCTTTCTCTTTCTCTCCTTTTACTCTTCTTTCTTTCTTTCCTTCCATCCTTCTTTCCTTCTCTTTTTTGAAGAAGCAGAATGACCTATTCTGACATGAACTTCTCCACAAATTATCATAGGACAAAACTCTTATTGGAGTTTAGAATAGGAATGTTGATCTTGGAGTAGGAAAGGCCAGGGAGAGGATCTAATATGGTCCAACTTCAAACCTGGGGAAGCTAAATATTTCATGACCGAATGTGGAGTGTTGGAGCCATACTATTAGGAAGTGTCTAAAGCCATATTTCCAAACCTTTTTAATGCCCAGGCATTTCACAGATCCCTCTGAATAATAGTAGTATTATTACTAGTTGATCCATTGATTGAGAAAACCCATGAAAAAAGCTAGGATGAACAGTAACACTTTTAAATGAGTTTATAATTTATTAATCACAACAGCTACATATATTTAGAATAGTAACATATTTTTGGAGATAATATTTATTCTGTCTACAAAAGATCTGTTTGCTTGCTTATAATACTGACTCATTCAATAAGGTAGACCCCCTCGAAATAACTCCATTGCCCTTGCACAGGCTGGGAATTCCTGGCATAAAATAAATTTGAATTCCCACATTAGTCTTAATCCCAAACTAACTTTTCAGAGTTTTGTAGGACTGTGAATAACCAGTAACTATATTACATACCATCCACATAACCCATCCTCTCCTCATAACCTCCCAGTACCAGAATGATCTTAGTGAAAGCAATATTGAATCCTTTGAGGCATTGCCCTCACTGTATTTTCCCCTCATTGGGACATACAAATTAACCTGTAGGATGAGAGAATTTTTGCTATAATGTGGTTGGAGTTTTCTACAGTCTAAGGCCCCTTATTTTGAGGGATTGCCACATTATATATACTTCTGCACAAATGCTTATTTTCCTAAAAATCAGTGCTATATATGGAAGATAACAATTCAGTGTGGGTTAAGGATAGAATCAGTAAGGAAAAATGCAAGCAATTGAATAGATTTAACTTTGAGGAGAAAAGGGTAAGAGGATGAACTTGACATTGATTTCAAATATATATATATATATATATATATATATGTAATGGGAAACTGTAGCAATGACTGTTGCTATTTAGTGGCAGTACAAAACTCTAAAATCACTAATGTAACTACTTATTTTGACACTATTAATAATCCAGACTTGCACTGACAGTACCCTCTGAGAAAGGTTCAAGGGTTCTACTACCTTGCAAGTGTCTGTATTTTCTTTCTTGTGGCAAACGTACTGTCCCAAGCTTCAGGGGTTTTGTGCAGCTGTTTTCAGAGATACTTCTAGGGACCTGTAAATTTTCAGTTCTTCCAAGGTGCTTTGATCAAGGGCGAGGTGTTTATTCCTTTCCTGTCTTATGCTCTGGTCTATAAGTGACCACAAGCACTCTTTTCTGCCTTCGAATTGTGAGGAAGATTTCCTCTTTACAGCAACTACAAGCTCCATCACGCCAGCACTCCTCCTCACCCCCGGACCACCACCCAAAACTGTGACCCAGATCCAAGCACAGGCAAAGCAAGAGAATCCTGCACCAGCAGAGGAATCCCTGCAATCCCCCTCTGATCAGCCACTCGATTCCCCCTCAGTCTATAGGTTAGAAGCTCAGGAGGCACCTCAGGCTGCGTTCTCGGGGAATGGAGCTGAAACCACTGTAAACCTAGGTAATTAAATAACAAAATTATTTGCCAGAGAACTACTAGCCAACGCTTAAAACTCAAAGGACTTGACAGTGTCCTAAGCCCATCTAGAGGAGCCTGTTCTATAATCGATGAACCCCGATACACCCTACCCCTTCTTGCCAATACAGCCTATATACCGCCATCGTCAGCCTACCCCAACAGGTATCAAAAGTAAGCAAAATCATCAACCATAAAAACGTTAGGTCAAGGTGTAGCATATGAAGAGGAAAGTAATGGGCTACATTTTCTAATATAGAAAATCAACGGACTATCTTATGAAACCTAAGACATACGAAGGAGGATTTAGCAGTAAATTAAGAATAGAGCGCTTAATTGAAACAGGCAATAGGACGCATACACACCGCCCATCACCCTCCTCAACATAACTTTAACCCAATAACTAATAAAACAAATCAACAAGAGAGGAGAAAAGTCGTAACATGGTAAGTGTACTGGAAAGTGCACTTGGAACATCAAAATGTGGCTTAACTAAAAGCATTTAGCTTACACCTAAAAGACTTCAGCTAACCCTGACCATTTTGAGCCAATACAAGCCCACCTACTAATCAACACAACTACACCAAACTTTTACCAAAACATTTACCCCATCCCAGTATAGGAGACAGAACAGATAAAAGGCGCATTAATGAAAGTACCGCAAGGGAAACCTGAAAGACAAGATTCAAAGCACCATAAAGCAAAGATTCAACCTTCTACCTCTCAGCACCACAGAAACACACTTTTCCCACTGACCTTCTAAGTTGTCTTTGGTGTTCATGGGTTGAAAAGTCTGGAAACCACCACAGCTGCCTGCGATTCAGTCCTCTGAGGCCTGCTCCAGGTTTGCTGTGGCCTGTGTGCCCACACCGAACTGATCAACCATTCGGGTTGTCTTGGGCTGGAAAGTTATTTCACTCTGTCTTTTTGTGGGTTCTGCTGCTTTAGAATTGGTTTAGAGCCATTTTTTATAGGTATTTGGAGGGGCTGGGGGAGAGTTCAAGCAAGTCACTGCTTTCACTCTGCTACCTTGGCTCTGCCCTCCAATAAATACTTCTTAACTGACTATTATATCTCCTGGTTCTGTGTTTCACATCAATGGAATAAGCTGAAGTCTCCTATTTCTTGCATAAATGTAAGTAAATATAATTACTAAAAAGATGAATGAAACACTGTAGAAAAATGACAAACATCATAAATTTAGTAATTCCATATCTCTTTTCCATAACTGACTTTCCTTTTCATAGTAGACCAGTTTTTCCATTAACACATGTTTTTTCTCATCCATGCCGTCAAGGTTTTTGCTGCTGTCTTTCTGTACAACTTCAAGAGAACATCAAAAGTATTACAGCATCTCAGGACTGAAAGAAAACTCAGTGAAGTGAGTGAGTGAGTGAGCAAGAATCCTTTCTACAACCTTCCCTGTCTGAAGGCTTCCAGACAGGGGGAACCCACCACATCCTGAAGCAGTGCCTTAGAAAGTTCTAAACATTAGGAAGTTGTCCTTACGTCACCCAAAATTTGTCCACCTCTTCAACTTTTAGCTATTATTCCTAGCTAGTTCTGCCATCTGGGGCCTAGTAAAACATGACTAATCCCTCCTTTATAGGACAGCTCTTCACATATTTTAAGACAACTATCTTGCCTCATCTAATTCTTCCTCAGTTTAAACATATATGATTCCTTCAGGCAATTTTCATAAAACAAAATCCTAAGAACTTTCACCATTCCACTTGTCCTACTTTGGACACTCTCTGGCTTATCAACATAGCTGAAAACAGATCTTCTTAAGGCAGAAGTCAAGACCAAATCACTTCCTGGCTTTCATATTGTCAATGGCTCCTAAGTGCCTCTAGTTTAAACCAAACTCTAGTTTAGCACTGAAAGTCTTTCACAATCTGTATCCAACCTACTTTTCCAGACTTGTTTCACATTTTCCTTTATCTATATTCTGGTTAAACTGCCATACTTCCTGTACTGGAACCTGACATTCCATTTTTCACTTCTGCGACTTGGAGTCATCCTGTAAGCCTGATACACACTCCCTTCTCACCTCTTCATTGTTAGAACCCTTAGATTTCTTCAAGGCTTAACTTGGATGCCATATCCTATAGAAAGTCTTACCCGATCTCCCTCTATGTTAGTGTTTTCTCTCTCCCCAGAATATCTGGTATTGATCCATCTGTGAAAATGTCTTTTCCCCAATGGTATGAAATTGTACTTCTTTTTGTATCCCAAAGGCCTAGCATGGTACAAACTGTTGAATTAAATTTAATCTCAAATTTAATCAACAAGTTCTAATTTGTCAAGATCTATTTGGACACTGACAGTGCTATACAATGTTTTAACTAGTCCTCTTTGCTGGGTAGCATCCTCCCACTTGCACCGTCAAATTTAATAAGCATTTCATTTATACTTTTATCCGTATCAAAAAAGAGATAACTCTAAATGGGACAGGATCAAAAAGAAATTCGGGGGCATTCTTTTGGGGACCACATTCCAAGTTCAAGTTGAACCACTGATGCGTACTCTTTATAGCCAGTCGTACACCCAGTTCCAAATCCATCTGCCTCTACATTGGCATAAGAGACTTTTGCCAAGTGCTTTGTAAAATCTAGGTAAATTATCTCTGTAGTATTCTCCTGATTTATCACTCTAATTACTTTGTCACAAAAGGAAATGAGATTGTCCTACATTTCCTGAATATGCTGGGAAAGAGATATATTACTCTGAATATGTGTGCGTGTATTTATTTTTAATTTAAGGAATAAAACAAGCATTTCTATAACATAGTACAATTAAAAAAGATGATTGCACATGAAACTGCAAATCTACTATGCACAACTTGCTATTCCTTTCAAATATACACAAAATTATCATGTTAATTTCTTTTTTTTTCTTCCCTTATCCCCACCCCCTGCCCTAGAAATGGCTACCATTAGACACATACTTCTACTTATCAATTCTTTTTCTGGATTCAGACAGCATCTTTCTTCATCTGTCCTTTCTAGTTAATTTGTGTATTTATAATAGACAAAAGAATTTATTTACTCAAAGTTGTTCTTAAAACAATATTGCCATTACTGTATACAATGTTTTCTTTGTTCTGCTCATTTTGCAAGTCTTTCCATGTTTTTCTAAAATTGTTGTGTTCATCATTTCTTACAGCACAGTATTATTTCATCATAATCATATATCACAACTTGTTCAGCCACTCCCCAATTGATGGGCATCCCTGCAAATTTCAATACTTTGCCACCACAAAGAGAGCTGCTATAAACATTTTAGAACATATAGGTTCTTTTCCTTTTTCCCTAATCATGTTTGGAAATAGAACAAGTAGTGGTATTGCTGAGTCAAAGGGTATAAGCAGTTTAATAACTTTTTGGGCATAAATCCAGATTGCTCTCCAAAATGGTTGGATCATTTCACAATTCCAATAACAATGAATCAATGTCCCAATTTTTCCACACTCCAATATTTGTCATTTTCCCTTTCTATCATTTTAGCCAATCTGGTAGGTATAAAATGATATCTCAAGGTTTTTTTAATCTGCATTTCTCTAATCAGTAATAACTGAGCATTTTTATATGACCATAAATTGTTTTGATTTCTTCATTGGAAAACTGCTTGTTAATCTCCTTTGACCATTTATCAGTTGGGGAATGACTTGTATTCTCATGGATTTGACGAAGTTCTTTATATATTTTAGGTATGGGACCTTTATCTGATAAACTGCCTGTAAAATTTTTTCCCCCAATTTTCTGCTTTCCTTCTCATCTTGGCTATAGGTGTTCTATTTGTACAAACCCTTTATTTTAATATAATTGAAATTATCTTAACTAATTTATATATTCAATTCCATCCTAATTAAATTACCAAAAATATTTTACTGAATTAAAAAAAAATAAAAAATTCATTTGGAAAAACAAAAAGTCAAGAATATAAAGGGAAATAATGAAAAATGTAAAGGAAGGAGGTTTAGCAGTAGCAGATCTTAAAATGTATTATAAGGTAGTAATTACCAAAACCAGTTTTACTGGCTGAGAAATAGAAAGGTAAATGAATGGAATAGGATAGACATACAATTTACGGCAGCAGATAAACATAATAGCTTTGTATATGACAAGTGTAAAGCCTTAAGATTTGGGGATAAGATTTGGTAAAAAAAAATTTGTTGGGAAAAATGGAAAACAAACTAGCAGAAACTGGGTATATTGTATATATATATATACATACATATACATATACATACGTATATATACATATATATACACACACAACTCCCACACACACATATATACATATATATTATGTGTATATGTATATATGTGTGTATACATATAAACTTATGAGTTGCTTTGGAAATTTAAAATGTATTGTGAACCCTTGAAAGGACTATTACAAAGTCAGCTAGATATTTATGTTCTCGGGGTGGCAGGTATGGGTCGGATGTAGGTGGAAAAATGATTGTAGCCATGAAAAGTCAGGGAAAGAAGAAAGGAAGAACATGGTGGCAAATCTGAAGCACAACAGTGATGTTCAGATACCCCAAGAAAAAAAGAAGACAAATAAAAAACATTGTAGTCTAGTAGAAAGAACACTGGGTCTTAGAATTGGAAGATTTAGGCTGGAGCTCAGTCTCCTACACTTATCTAGTTGTGTGACCCTGGGGAACTTATAATAAATTGTAACAGCTTTTAGCTAGATGAGACCTTCATGATAATCTAGCACAACCATTAATCTCTTTGTGCCTCAATTTCTTCATCAATGCAGGGTAGTTATGAGAAAAGTACTTTGTGATTCAAGATAAAAACCCAATATCCCTGTCTTTATATATGATCAGTTACCAAAACTTGGTAGTTCCATATCCTAATACCTCTAGAACCTGTACTCCTTTTCACACTTCCACCATTCTAGAGTAGGTCTTCATATTATGCCTCTGTTTGTCATTTAAGGGTGTCTGCAATCTGATCCCTTTCTACCTTCCCAGTTTTCTTATGTATTACTCCCTTCTCCTCACTCAGCTATCCATCCATACTGGCCTGTCTGATGTTCAGCACCTATGGAGTTCCATTCCATACCTTTGCATAGGTTATTTCTAATATTTGGAATGCATTCCCTCATCTCAGCCTTTTGGAATCCTGGATTTCCTTCAAGACTCACCTTCAAATACTACCTTCTACATGAAGCCCTTCTTGATCTCTTGTCTGCTAGTTCCCTTCCTCCCATAAATAAGTTGTATTCATTTTATATGTATAATTTACATACTTTAATATAAAGGCTCTCCCATTAGGATATAAGCTCCTCGGGGGCAGGGATTGCTTCAATTTTAGTTTTGTATCCCTAGTCTTCCTGGCATATAGTGAGTACTCAATAAATGTTTGCTGATGAAGAGCCTATCCTAGAGAAATAATCTCCAAACTAATCTAATAAGTCTCTGTGCCTCCATCCTTTCAGCCTATAGCCTATTTTCATAACACTGCTAAAAGTAATCTTTAATACACACAAGCAATGTCTGCCATGCTCAAAAATCTTCAATGGCTTCTTACTCTGTTAAGTAAAGTTCAAAATCCTCTTTCCAGCATTCAAGAAGATATATGATCCCGGACTATTTATTTCACATTACTCTTCTCTTCTTGGTTATCCTTTGCCCCCTATATACTGACTATACTCTCAGCCCTCCATTCCTTGTAGCTTTCCCATTTTATTCATTCATTCATTCATTCACCTAAAATTTTATTAAACACCTAATAAAGGTTGGGCTGGGAATACAAAAACTGAAATGTAAAGTCCTTTCTCTCAAGGAGTTTACAATCTATTACTCACCTTCACTTGTTGAAGCCTGATTCAAATGCTGCCTCCTCCAGGAAGCTTTCTTGTTCACCCAGGTTAGCAATAATCATGCCCTCAAACAACATTTGGTTTTGTAACTTTTCTTATACTGTAACATTGTATATTATAGCTCTCTGTGTTCTGTCTCATTCTCACATGAGACTGTAAGTTCCTTGAAGTCAGGAACCTTGGCATCTAAGTATTTTATCTCCTTCACAGCCTGATACAGTATCACACAAAGAATAGGCTTTTATTTAATTATTATTTTTTATATATTTTTCTCCCCTGGGAGAATGCTCAGTAAGCTAAAATTGTTTCAAGGGTTTGGAAGACTGCTGAGAGAAGAATGACACGTGTATGTAGCTTCCCTGATGGCTGATAGTTCTTGTGTTTTAATCTTCTGTAACTAGGTTTGGTACATCTGGGGCCCTTGGTATAGGGGTGGGCAGCAGATTGAGCAGAATGGAGGCACACAACCTTGCCCTCCAACAGAACAGAAGAGAACAGAACAGAACAGCCCTGAAGCCAGGGCAGGAGCTTGGGACTGAACAAGGAATTCAGTGGGCACTAAGGTGCAAATTGTTTCCCCAGTAGAGCCTGAGGTTTTGTCCACCTTGGGTGACTCAAGTCGTGCCTCCTATGTACTCGGGAGTATTCTCTGGCCAGGTGAAAAGAAAGCCTGAGATAAACCATCTTTCCGGGACCACAACTGACATCCCCCGAGAAAATAGGGCTAAAAAGGTGGTTATGAGGGGAGAACGAGGCTAGGGGTGAGAGAAGACGGAGGGATGCGGTATGCGGGGCTGGGGAGGCAGTTAACGAGAGCAGGCTGCTTCGCCACCTGCGCGCGCTCCCCTCAATCAGCCAGGCCAGTGACTGGAGTCTTTGTCACGCGAGTTACTGGGTAGTTCTCCGCTTGCCGTTGCTGCCGGGAGAACGAGGCACTTAGAGACAACCGTCTGAGCGGGGGCGGTGGGAATTGGACAAGGTCAGACTTACACCAGCTGGAGATGCTAATGTAGTCCTCCACTCTCCTGGGGACTGCCAGCCTTCAGTGGCATCTTATAGGCTTTTCGGGTCTTCATTTCTCTTTCTGCTTCTCTCTGGGCATACTCCTCTGATACCTGGGCACTCCCACAGACAATCGCAGCCTTTGACTAAGCTCTAAGATTTCCCCCATCCTCAACCCCGCAGTGCCCAGACCGCAGCTGGTGAGGGAGGGAAATGGAAAAAGAAAAAGAAGAGAAGGGTGCGAACGCCAGGGAGGATAATAAGGAGGAGGATAATAAAAAGGAGAAGGAACACAAGGAGAAGGAGGACAAGAAGGAGGAGGAGCAGGAGGTGAAAGTGCCACGGAGGTTAGACTGGTCAGGTAAGGAGTACTCCTGACCCTGGGGCTGTAACTGTCCCCTTTTCTATGGACTCCCTGACCCCTGGACTGTAATCTTGTTGCCTCCGGTGGGGGCAAAGGAGAAAGAACCTATTCAAGTTCAGGAACAGAAGAATTTTTCCTTTTCAATCTTGGCAGAATGGGGTGAAGGGTGAGGGGTAGGGGAAAGAGAAAAGAGTCGGTAGAGAAAACAGGTCTGAGAAAATAAAATATCCTTCTATATTCAAGATGAAACTGTTGCATTAAGACTGTTCTCTGTAGGAATTTCAAGGAGTGTACATTTGCATGCTCTCTCCTTAGGTGGGATATCCAAGAGAGTGATTTGTTCAGCTGTGGCTGGAGGTAGCTTCATTTTAGTCTTAGAGATAGCAGTCAGCCTTAGTAAGCAAGGTAAGTGATAACATTCTCCTAAATTTCTTTTATTTTCCACTGAGTCCCAGGCTGTGATATCATAGGTCTCACCCTCTGTCTTTGGATACTTTAAGCCCAGGGTCAGGAAGGGCTCTCCCAAAAGAACTTCAAACAGAAGGATGGACCTTGAGCTGAGTTCCCTTGTAAGTTAGACCTATGACCACCAGTGGAAGGGAAGAAAGATAGTCAATGTGATCAACTATGCAAAATTTACCATCCAAAATTAACTTTCCCATACTTCCTATCCTTTAGTAGTGATGCTTCTATTGCCTGTGAGAAATGGTGCACCAATAAGTCTTCTGTGTTGTGTTTTCAATATTCATTCAATTATATGGAAATATAGTACAATGTAGCAGAGGAATTCTCAAACTTTTTTGGTCTCAGTACCCCTTTACACTGTCAAAAATTATTGAGGACCACTCAAAGAGCTTTGGTTTATTCAGGTTATATCTCTCAATGCTCACTTTATCTAAAATTGGAAATCCTCAATGGTCCCTGGAACACACTTTGAGAACCACTGGTATAGTGAATAAAGATACAGTAGATTAGAGAGCAGGAGTTATGGACACATGGGTTCACAGCCCAGTTCTGACACAAATTGGTTGTTTAGCTCTGAGTAAGTCATTTAACTGCTTTGGTAGGTGAGTATTTTTCACTGGGAGAATGAAATTACAGGTTAGGACATCCTCTACTTCCTTCCCCACCAAAAAAAAAAAAGTGAATATGCTTTGGTTTGGGAGGCAGTATCATGCAGTTGGATAGAGAGCTAGCCTCAAAGTCAGGACCACCTGGATTTCAGTTCCACCTCTGACATGTACTGGCTAGCAAGTCACAATCTCTCAATGTTCTGGACAGCTATATAAGGCTGCAAGTTGCAGGTGATGTGCCAAATCATCATTGGAAGAGAGAGTTTTCTCTCTTGGGAATTCCCTCTCCTAATGAAATCAGTTTTAGTCCCTTTCCTGTGTACTCCCTTTAGTGCTTATTTATTTCAGGGTCTGAGCTAAGGCCTCTCAGATTCTGTTTTAATGTTTTAAGTTTAACTCAACGAAATGAAAGGGGACTGGAAATGCAGATCTCAACATCACTAAAGTGCAGGAAAAATGCCTGAGGGGCAACCTAACCCCACATTGGCCTCATTGTATCATTGTCTCAATTCTAGCTGGAAAAAGAACAGAGGATATAATCTTTGAAGGCGACTTCTGCCCAGATGGCTCAACTGTGCGTCCAAAAGACCGGTTCAAATGCTACTACCTATCAGTGGATAAAAAGTCCTGGAGTGACAGTCAGAAAATGTGTAGGTCTCTTGGTGTAAAGGTGGCTATATTTAGAACCGCGGAGGAAACGGTAAGGAATCTTTTCTAGAACTATGGTTGAACATTCATCTTATCCTCTCATCTCCAGCCTCCCCGTTATGGTGATGAGACATAGACTCAGAGCATTAGCTCTTGAAGGACTAAAGAGATTGTGTAAGCCAATAACCTTCTTTCACAAATGGGGAAATGTCTCTGCACAATCTTGGGAGCTGGGTTTTAGATTAACTCCTTCCTTCCCTCATGTGAATCACTGTGTCAAAGAGACTAAGGAGACCCTGTGCCTATCACTAATACACTTCACAGCATAAACAAGTCCTGGTATGGGAACTCTAGGCAAAGTTGGTAGTTAGTGATCTGAGATGGAATCTGTGTTCAGAGAGAGGACAGGGTATAGAAGGAGAAATGAACTTAGGTGGGAGGGATGGGGGCTGGAGAACTAGATGTCACAGCCAGCTATGCTTTGTGAAAGGAATTCCTGGGGAAACGCATTGGCTGTCCTCACTACCGGCTTGAACTAATTAATGACATGGGAACCTTATCCTGGAAGCGGGCAGATGGAACTGAGCCCTCCAATTGGTGAGTCCTGAGATGTCTCTTTATTTATTCATAATTGATAAGAGAAATACACTATTTCTTTATCACCAACTCACTGGTCACCAATGTAGAAGGATATGTTCTCTAAGACTATCAATGGTAGATAGGTTACAATTTACATCAGTAGAGGGTATTCTATACCGGCAGTTCTCATGATGACTAAATTACAGGTCTATGACAGTGTTACAAAGCACTCATTTACCTTTTCCTCATCAAATATTTTTAATTTTGGTTATTGGAGTATCTTCCCTCTGGCCCTATTTGAAAAAAAAAAGTTCAATTTTATAGTGAGAATTGGAGAATGGGGAAAAATAGAATACCCTTAGCAAAAACTTACCTTTTTTTTTTCTATTAGACTGTTTGGTTTTCATTTCCTCATTTTCCTCTACTGATCTATTCTTGATCTGAAAGTTTAAGTTAAAAAAGAACAAAAAATTTCCAAGGGAACTCACCAATCTTGAATCAAATGAACCATTTCCCAAAACTAAACCTTCCCCCCATTCCCTACCAATTTATTGCAAAGAAGGTTTAGTTTGTCAGGTTTCCATTTTTAAACAGGAAACCTTTCTCAATTTCCTATCAGACTCAGAGTAGTATTTTAGGGCCTTTAGAGTTTGAAGGGCAGCTGATAATAAAGGATGACTCCCTAATATCAAGGAATTCATGCTGTAGTTTGGGAGAATGAAACAGATGACAAAATTTGAGCAAGAGGCAGTTATAAAGTCACCATTGAGTAAATGCAAAGTAATTAATAGTCCCAGTATGCTTTATTTTAAAGTAAATTTGTGTTACAAAATTTTAATATGCAGAATGAGTAAAATGAATTTCTGGCAAGTCTATTATGATATAGACAGCTATCACAAGATTTTATAGCCTAACCTGATTAAATAGAACAAATAGACACAATCTGCCAAAAGAGAAATGTGTGCCACTATAATATTTGAAAAATGTTACATAAACACAATTCTGATAGATTCATTATTGTATTTATTTCTTCCTTGTTGAATTTTTCTCAATTCTTTTGGCACATTGTGTCTATCTGTTCTATTTAATCAAGTTAGGCTGTAAAATCTTGTGATAGCTGTCTATATCATAATAGACTTGCCAGAAATTCATTGAACTTCAGATTTAATGAATTTATGCTTCATTTTACTCATTCTGCATATTAAAATTTTGTAACACAAATTTACTTTAAAATAAAGCATACTGGGACTATTAATTACTTTGCATTTACTCAATGGTGACTTTATAACTGCCTCTTGCTCAAATTTTGTCATCTGTTTCATTCTCCCAAACTACAGCATGAATTCCTTGATATTAGGGAGTCATTCTTTATTATCAGCTGCCCTTCAAACTCTAAAGGCCCTAAAATACTACTCTGAGTCTGATAGGAAATTGAGAAAGGTTTCCTGTTTAAAAATGGAAACCTGACAAACTAAACCTTCTTTGCAAGAATAGATCAGTAGAGGAAAATGAGGAAATGAAAACCAAACAGTCTAATAGAAAAAAAAGGTAAGTTTTTGCTAAGGGTATTCTATTTTTCCCCATTCTCCAATTCTCACTATAAAATTGAATTTTTTTTTCAAATAGGGCCAGAGGGAAGATACTCCAATAACCAAGGGGACACTGGTAATATAATTTGTCCCCAAAGTAATTGATTTATGGCCCTTAGAAGTTTGGGATACTAGAACCCTTTCCTGAATATACTTAGTATGTAATGTTTGATTTAGCATTTTATAATCACAAATTATTTTACACACATTCCCTTATTTTATCCTCACTGCAGTTCTGTAAAAGTAGATAGCACTAACACCACATTACAGATAAAGAAAGAGAGACTTAAGAGAGATTTAGTAATTTGCCACACAACGCTCTATTGACAAGTGACAAAGCAGGGATTTTTTATGCTTTATCATGTCAGAGACATGTTCTTTTTCTTTTCATTGGGATCTGAAGGACATATAGGCTAAGGTGACCCTGTGGCTGGGATTTTGAAACACAATCATCGAGTAGAGTCTAAAGGCTGGGGGGGGGTGAGGGGAAGAGAGAAATCTGCCAGTCTTATCTTACCCAGCCATACTGCCTGACACATAATTTTATCCCTAACCCACAATGACCAGTTTAATATCCAGTCACTTTACTTTATCCTGGGAGAGATTCTGATGATGAACTCCACCCTCATCCTTGCTGCTGGAGCCAAGCCATCACAGGACTCACCTCTTCATATATATATGTGTGTATTGTTTTATACATTATATATAATGTATATATCTATATATATATCTATATATATCTTTATAAATATCATACTTAGACTCCTAAGGTCCTAGAGCTAGAAAATTCTGATGTTAACTGCACAGTTACTTAAATTTAACTATTTTAATAATAATTTATTTTTAGGAAACAGAATTTGTGATATTTCTTTCTTAGTCAATCAACAAACATTTTAAAAGTGCCCTGTATTTATGTCCTTTATGCCCTGTATTAAGCACTGGAGATACAAAGAAATTTTAAAAAATCAACTCTCCTCAAGGAGCATCCCATTCTAATGAGGGAGAGAGTATGTAAATAATAAAGCATATACGAGCTAAATGAAGAGAAGATGCAACATTCATTTGAAATGTTTAATTAACCACCATCACCTGTGTGTGTACTTTTCAAGGGCAGAGACTCGAAGGAAGAATTTAACCCCTACGTCAATGATGCTACAATTCAGGCATTGTCCACCACTGTCTCAATGTCATCAAGACTTTCTGATCAATCTCATTTTATGTTACTGAAGCATCTTTCAGCTGATTGGCTCTTTATAATGTTTCATTCAATGTTGGGTTTTCAAGGAAACAATTAATGATTTATAGGCAGACTTTGACTGAAAAGTGGCAATGGGACAGCCAAATAAAGATGTGAGGGAAAAGAAATATGATACTGGAAGAATTATCAGAGTTAGGGATTGAAGTAGACATCCAAGAGTCATACAGATATGAGCAAGTAATTAAAATGGAAAAAAAATCATAGGTGAAAGACTAAGATATAAGTGATGGTTCTGTTTTAAACTTGAGCAATAAAAAAATTAAACATGAACAATTCAAGATAATTCTGAATGTTACCACAATAGTAAATATGCATGACCATAGTAAAACTCAAATATACTGAACACCTGCTCTGGCTAATGAACTGTACAATTCACAGGAGATACAAAGAGGCATAAAACACAGTACTCGCCCTAAAGAGGCTTACAATCAAGTTGTAGGTAGGGTCAGGAAATGCTCACAAAAGATGGTTAACAATAATTTTCACTTATACAATGTTTTATACTTTACAAGTAATAATCTTATCCATTATCTTATCTGTTCTTTACCAAAACCCTGTGATATAGAAAGGTTTGGCATTGTTAGCCCCATTTTATAGACTGGCATGCTATGGTTCAGAGAAATGGAGACATTTAACAAAAGTCAACCATGTAATAGCAAACTTGAGGCTAGGACCGAAGTTTTCTTGTACCTAGTTGCCAGAGTTTGTGATTCCATCTAAAGAGGGAAGAGTTGTGTATCCAAGGCTACAAAAGCACACAGCTACCTAAAGTCACTAGTTAATTTGAGGCTTATTTAATACAGAAAAACCTTCTTGAATGGCTTATGCTAGAAGAGATAATGATTTTTAAAAAGTGCTCCCAGGAACAGACTAATAACTAAGAATGTTTTCACTTGGGACAGAAAAAACTAGGGGTTGGGCTTAATGATCCATTAGGGATACTCAATCCAGTAATTATATTAAGGGTGCTATGGGTTCATTGTTTTAAAATGAGACAATGAGTTTCTCTTACCCATTCTTACTATAGCCCATTTAAGCTCTGATGATCTTCTTCCCAGCTCCCACTCTGATTGAGAGCTATGATGGCCACAAGTCCCTCTCAAGCTTCAAGGGGTACCCCTTGAGAAATAAGGGGTGATTCTTAATGTCATTAGCTCCATCCCTAACCAGTGTTCTTCTCCCTAAGATTAACAGCTGAGAATCATTTTAGTCAGCCAACCTTACGTAGTTTAGAAATGAGGTACTTACTAAGGTGGAACAATTATAGCAGTTGGTACAGAACTGCTCCACCCTCCAAATTCTGTGAAACACACTCTCTCACAAATACATATAGAATCCAGGGTAAAGTTGGTTGAGCCTTACAGAGTGCATATGACAAAGGGGTAACTCACAGCTCTTGATTGCTGGAAATGCATTTCTTCCTTTTGTGGGGGTGCTCAAAAAGTTCCCTTTAGTTTCTTTTCTAGGCTCTTTGTAGAGCCATGATGATAAAGACCTTATAAGGATGCAGCTAGGATGGCAGCCACAGTTGTCCCACCAATACTGGTAGGCATGGTGAAAATAACCTCTGGGCACCTTTCTTCCTTCCTTCTTCCTTCCTTCCTACCTCCTTCCTTCCTTCCTACCTACCTTCTTCTTTCCTTCATACCTTCTTCCTTCCTTCCTACCTTCTCCCTTCCTTCCTTCTTCTTTCCTTCCCTCCTTTTTCTTCCTTCCTTCTTCCTTTCTTCCTTCTTCCTTCCCTCCTTTTTCTTCCTTCCTTCTTCCTTCCTTCTTTCCTCCCTTCTTTCCTTCCTTTCCTTCCTTTTTTCTTTCTTCCTTCCTTCCTCCCTCCCTCCCTTCTTTCCTTATATTCCTATCTTATAGTCGTTCTGCCTCAACATATGTATCGATACTTCATCAACTGATACCCCTTTTCCTCTCAATTCTTCAAATTACTCCTTTCTTATGACCTATTCCTCCACTTCACCTCAGCCACACACAGACAGATGATCATACCTTTGATCTTGCTGTCATCCACAAGCATTCCACTTCCATGTTCATGTAGTCTGAAATTCGTATACCACAATCCCTTGTCATTACTCCTCTCCTTCTGTTTTGCGTCCCTCAACCCTGTTCCTTGCTTTCACTATGATCTACTCTCTCCTGGTTTTCCTCCTACCTATTTGACT